TAATTTTCTGATCAAATCCAGTTGTCCCTGAAAAGATGAAGACATTGAGTATTGCCAGTCATTTATACCTTAGTATAAAATAGTTGACAGCCAGGCTCCGTGGCTCAGCCTGTAATCGCGCGCCTTTGGGAGGCTGAGGTGAGTGGATTGCCTGAGCCTGCAGGTTCAAGACCCGCCTGGGCAGCGAGACCTCATCTCTACAATAAATCAAAAAATTAGCCGGGTGTGGTAGCGCGCACCTGTAATTCCGGCTACTCGGAAGGCTGAGAGGAAGGATTGCCGGAGCCCAGCAGGTCGAGGCTGCGGTGGCCGGGAGTGGCCACTGCACTCCAGTCTGGGCGACTGAGTGAGACTCTAACTCAAAAAAAATAATAATAATTGACAAAAACCTTTCCTAAGAACATAATTTGGTTTGAGAAAGGGTAGTGACAGGACAATTCTGGGTGCAAAGTGTGGGATTACCGCGAAGGAAGAAAAAACACAAAAACTTGCCAGAACCAGAATGAAAGATGAAATTCATCAATTTAGTGGTGTTGTATTCAGATTGTGTTGCTAGGCAGGAAACTGTTTGTGTGTAACTATATGGAAGAAGAGCTTAAGAGGGCCAGGAGAGAGAAAATTATTCTCTCTTTCCTTTATGTAGTGTTAAGGAGAAGGTTGGGCTTTGGACTGCTTGCTATTGATTTTACACTTCATATACTCCTATTGTTCTTGATGTATTTATAAGATGTCCCTATGTTAGTGATATATTGTTTTTTGTTTTAGTCCTAGCTGCTATTGCATAACATAAACACAGTCGTCTTTTGTTTTACATTACCCCAGAGAAGCTAGACAAAAAGCCTGCTTATAGATAGTATTACAGCTCTGTTTTCATATACTGTCTTTTCTCTGAACAACTCTCGACAGTTGTGACCTTCTTCTTAATGCTTGTTAAATGCCCTCATCATGCTTGGTGCTGTCGGAAAACTGTAAAAGACACAACTCTTGCCAATAAGGGGCATGCATATTAATAGATGGGAGACATAAACACGCTTTTAAATAAAGATATTTATAAAATCCTAGAATGTGCTTATTTTGCTTGGATGAGACAGAATAATTGAACTAATGCATACTATCCTTTAGCAGTTGTCTTACAAACAGAACAAAACAAGTGTGTAGAGATGGCTCAACCCACAACCTTCAGAGCCATAACATGGGCAGAGTTAGTACTTCAGTTAAGGTAGAATTAAAGCATTTTTGCTGAAATTAGCCTGAATGTATCATTCTTTGCTATTCATACTAGAGATTTTGAACCACGTGCAGCTCTGCTATGTGTGGCTTTCATAACTCCAGGATTTTGATGTTTAAACCATTCATTCAGCAATCTTTTTCTGAGGTCCTATTCTGTGGCGAGCTATGATGTATCGGGAGCTGGGGACAAAACGGTGAGCAAGACAGATGAATTCTTCTTTCAGTGGCACACAGGCAGGTAGGGACGCAGAGATTAAACCAGTAATTGCACTAACCAAGCTATAACCACTGGTCCATATTCCTTCTTTCTTCTTTCGTTATTGTCTTCTCTTTCCTTCCTTTCTTTTTTTTTTAGTTGGAGTCTCACTCCATCGCCCAAGCTGGAGTGCAGTGGTGCACTCACGGCCATCTCAGGGACGACGTGCTGGGCACCGGCGATACTTGGGCCTCAGCCTTCCAAGTAGCCGGAACTGCAGGTGCGCACTACCACGCCCAGCTAATTTTTTGATTTCTTGTAGAGCGAGGTCTCACCAAGATGCCCGGCTGGTCTCAAACCACCGGCTCAGGCAGTCCACTCGCCTCGGCCTCCCAAAGTGCTAGGATTACAGGCTGAGCCACCGAGCCCAGCCTCTTTCCTTCCTTTCAAGTTAAGGTCTCACTCTGTCACCCAAGCACGTCTTGCCACAGCCTTGACCTTCTGGGCTCAGGTGATCCTTCTGTCTTTGCACCCCGAGTGGCTGGGATTATAGGTGTGCACTCAGCTAATATTTAAATTTTTTTTTTTTTGTAGAGACGAGATCTCACTATGTTGACTGGGCTGGTCTTAAACTTCTGGGCTCATGTGATCCTCCCACCTTGGCTTCCCAAAGTGTTGGGATAACAGGCGTGAGCCACGGCACTTGGCCTCATATTCCTATGATTCTATGGGATGATATGATTAATGAAGCTGACTTTGTCTGGGGGGTTTTGGGAGACTTCCTACTTGAGATGAGATATAAAGTATGAAGAAGAGGAGTGTAAATAGGGAGGGTGGAGGTAAGGGAGGTGTTGCAGGTAGAGGAAGCACGACAAGGTCAAGAACCTGATGAAGGGCCAGCATGGCCACAGTTCAAAAAACAAGGGCGAGTGTGATTTGAGTTAAGGCTAGAGAGTGAGGCTAGACCAGGTCCTGCAGACCTATAAGAGGATAATGGTCTTTATTGGATGAGTTAGGAGTAGTTCCTAGCATAGTATAAGAGTTTAATATGATATTGTTATTCTGATCTTCAAAAACTGTATCATGAGATATTATTTATTATTGTTTTAGGGACAGGGTCTTGCTCTGTTGTCCAGGCTGGAGTGTAGTGAGTGGTCATGCTCACTGCAGCCTTGAACTCTTGGGCTCAAGCGATCTTCCTGCTCAAGCAGCTGCCTGAGTAGCTGGGACTACAGGCAGGCACCACCACACCTGGCTAATTTTTAAATTTTTTGTACAAATGAAGTCTTGCTATGTCAGGCGAGTCTCAAACTCCTGGCCTCAAGCCATCCTCCCACCTTGGCCTCAAAGAACATTAGGGTTACAGGTGTGAGCCACCACATCCAGCCTGAAATAGGATTGTGTTAATTAAATACTACTTATCTGAAGAACTAAGAGAAGCCACTCAAGGATTTTAGGCAGTGGAACGACATATAACACAGCCTGATTTGTATTTTGTAAGCATCATTCCAACTATCGTGTGGAAAACAGATTTGAAGGGGAGGGTGGTGCTGATGGCTGTAAGAAGACCTGAAGCAACTATCCTAGTTGTTTGGTGAGATTCTTCCTCAGAGATTCTGATTCCTTTCCACGAGAACTACTGTAGTGAACCAGGGAACTCTTGACACAAGTTGCATGAGACGAAAACTCTAAGCTGTTGGGGATTTTAAGATTTTCTTGTAAAGGATTACGCAACCACTCCTGAATTCTGCCCTTAGTATACTGGAATCTTAAAACTGGCCTGCAAATCCCTCCATGAAACACTCCTGAAGGCTGGGGCTGGCAGCCCTGCCCTCTGTCTCATTGTTAGCGGCTGCTTCAGAGGCCAGGATCACCTAGATGAGCAGTTTCAGCTAGGATTTTGCTGCCCGCATTCTCCACTTGCTTTCAGAGTCCAGGATTTTTCTTCTGGGTAGGTCAGGGCAGTTTCCACTTGAATACAAACTGTGAGACTTCAGGCTTTTTTGTTTTTTTGAGCTTGGGTTTCAGGCTGGTGTGCAGTGGCACAATCATGGCTTGCCACATCCTCGATGTGCTATGTTCAGGCAATCCTTTCACCTCAGTCTCCTGAGTAGCTGGGATTACAGGTGTGTGCCACCATGCCTGGGTATTTATGTACGTATGTATGTATGTATGTATGTAGAGACGAGGTCTCGCTGTGTTGCCCAGACTGGTCTCGAACTCCTGGGCTCAAGCAATCCTTCCACCTTGGCCTTCCAAAGTGTTGAGTTTACAGGTATGACCCTTTGCACCCAGGGAGACTTCAGACTTTCAAATCCTAATGATGATGAGACATTTAAGTACTGCGTAAAGTCCCAATAAAGAGATAATTTCCCCGCATGGCACGGACATTGAATGGGATGGTGGTTGAAAATGTGATGAAAAGCGGGGGATTTAAACCTTTTATCTTGAAAAATTAACCTAGGCCAATGACTTTTTTTTGTTTGTTTTTAAATTAGGAAAGTCAAACTTTTGACTTGTCCATATTAGAAAACCTCCTGATGATAGTCATTCTTCCAGGGCAAAGCCATGAATGTTCTGGAGAAATAGCCACTTATCAATGTCAAAGAAAGGAACTTGAGCACTACAGTGGTCCTAGGAATTAAGCCCAAAGTCCAATTTCATAGAAAAGGAAACGGAGGCTTAGTTAAGTATATGCTATTTATCTCTGGTGATAGCCAGCTGGAATTAGAACCAAGCTCTCGTGTCTTTGTTGTATGATAAAGTTTCCATTCTGTGATCTGCATTTTATAATCTGCTGAGAAAATATGGTTGTTTGGAATTTTACTAATTTTTTACCCCCTAGTGGCTTATTTTTCAAAGCCATCCTAAACAGACCTAATTGTTTTTAGTTAAGGAACATAAACGAGAAGACTAAAATGTTAAAGAAATGGCGAAGATAAAGTACTTTGAACTGTTTACACAGAAAGCTTAGCTGATAGGCAGGCTATGTGACTTTCGTTTTTTTTTTTTGGAAATTGCCATTGCACTTTAAGCTCTGCAGTATATGAATAAGAGCTACGTATTTAAACTGTATACAGAAGTCAGGAAACAAACGAAGTCATGTTGTCTTTGTGAATGATCAGCTGCTTGGGACATGGTTCAAATGAACTATATAAATAATCGAACAAGGTCCTTCATTGCACATTTCTTGGAGCAAACAAAATGCAGTGTGTTTTTATAACTAGATAGCTATTTGATCCCCCCCCCACACACTTGGATATAGATTGATATAGAATTACTTAAAATGCTGCATATAAATTAAACATTAAAATAGAGATGCAGAGAGGCTAAGCTGCCCCATTAGAATCTTTAGTTCCGCAGTCACTGCCTCAAGGACACTCCATTTCATATCACATGTCCTTTTGAAAAGTGATCACCTAGGTTCAGGTAACATTTAAGCACAGCCAGCAGCTGCATAATTTATGGTCCTTTTTGTTTGTTCCTGTTTTAATGAAAAACAAGAAAACAGAAGTCTGTTTTCATACATTAATGCCTTTTCTTTTGTTCTCTCCTTCCCACCCTGCCTTTGCAGATAGGGGCCCTGAAGGACTACTACCACTTTTACCATAGCAGGACGATTAAAAGGTCAGTTCTTTCGAGCAGAGGAACCCACAGTTTCATTTCAATGGAACCAAAGGTAAGAAGAACCGGCTAGGTGGGGACCAAGAGGCAAAGCTTCTGCATTTTTCATTGGTGATAACACGTAGTTGCCGATGACCAGCACGATGAAGGTTCACATTTCTAGAGCTGTCATATTATCCTTTGGTCTAGTGTCTACACTTAGACAATGACAGGATTTCTACTGGTGTGCGGCTCTCATCCCAGTTGTAGGGGGGATACACAGGGATGAGTTCTTATGGAGAAATGAGGAGTAGGGGCGAGCAGATGGAGATTGAGAATGATTGAAGTTTTACGAATGAATACTTGCTGTTTACCTATTTGCATACAGATCTCAAGTTCTGTTAGCTCCATAGAAGAAGGGGTTTCTTCCAGAACCCTGAATCCTCATGATTTTATCTGGCGTTGAGTCACATAATTGGCAGCACAAGGTCTAGATCCTATCTCAGACACTTATAGTCTGAGTAAGGCTCAACTGCTTCTCCTGATACCAGTAAATCCAAGGGGCAGGGAACTGGTAGAAAGAAGTTTAATTCTGAGTTCGAATCCAGGGAGCAGAGCCGGACTCGAAGTCTTTCTAAAATGGTTCTACTCACCCTCCAGGCTTTTACAGTTCACTTTTATAGTCCAGAGTTGTCACTACCTATACAGTACCTATACATTAGCCACGTGACCAGCAGAGCATGGTATAGAACTTAAGTTACAGTTGCATTTTGCATTTAGATAATGACATTTAGCATAAAGGAAGTTTACAAGGCCCAAGACATCATGCATTGCAAAAGTTATACAAATCACAAGATTTAGGATTACATTGATACTATATAGTTTAAAGAAAGGGAGTAAATAAGGATTTACATCTTTGGGCTTAAGTCTGCAGGGAAGTCAAGGATCCCCTGAAGCTACTTACTGGGAGTGCATAGAAGAAAGGAGACTCTCAGAGATGCTTGCAGGAGCTCCCAAACACCTACCATGCCCTTCTCCAGGAGCTGTGTCAATATGGAGGGACATTAATGGGTCTCTGTATCAGGATAGGAGGAACAATGAGCACAGAAGGGGTGGAAACTGGCTCCTGCTCTTGGGAACTCATTAGGTATCATTTTTTTTGCACCAAGTCCTTTCCGGTTGAACAAACAACATATCCCTAGGAGAGCTTAGAAGGAGGTATGGTATGCCTAGGTTCTCCCATCTTAGGGTGGGGCAGCTTTGAAACTAAAACTCCGAGGTCAAATTAATGATCTACCCTTATTAATTAAGTTGGAGGAAGGAACTTCTGACCAAGAACTAATTGGCTTCTCAGACTCGTCCTTTGTGGGCTTGCTGTGTATGAGTAATTGATTAGGGTGTTTTTGCTTTTTTTCCCCCCATATGATTTGGGTTTACCATAAGAACTTGTTTTCAAAGAAATTGGTAAACAATTTCCTACAGTGAGCATTGCAATCTCAGAGAGTCCTAGAAAATTGCATTTAAAAAAAAATAAACAGTCCCCTATTTGAATTAATAAGCAAATAAGATTTGCAGTTTGTTGTCTTATCCTCTGTGATGTGTGCTTTACCTTGTTTAATTTTTTTCTGGAATGTTATGACACAGTGTTCATGATTGTGAAACTACATCTTGGTGGTTAGAAAAAGCACATTTCTTCTAGGTCCCAATTTTTCTGTGGGTTATGGGAACATCCCCTAATACTTTCACTTCAGGGGCCTGTGGATTGCTTTTTTCTCCCTTCGTCTCTATTCAGAAGTGAATTTTTCTGAAAAAGCAATTTGTTGGGACATTTCTGAATAGGCCAAAGTCACATTTTTCATCTGCAAAAACTTCTTTGAATTTTGGTAATTAAAACGATTCCGATGTCAGACCGCGTATGCAACGTCAATGAAATTGAAAACCAGGTACTATTAATAGTTGATTTGGGAAGTAAGGGCAGAACAGTAAATGAGACATTGTTTCCATGATGAAGGAAGTACGGAATGTAGAGCCATTTGAATCCTTATTGCTATCTCTGTCTTCGTTTCTTCTTACCTCAGTACATCAAATGGCTTATTGTGTGATCCAACAGAGTCCTTGGATGCTGGGTCACATAGTACTTGGAAGGCATATCCAGTTCACAGGAATAAGGCCACTTCGGGCCAGACCAAGTGAAAATAATCCTCAGAGTAGAGTACCTTACTCTCTATTCTGATGCCTTCTGCCAGTCATTCTCACCCAGCATTTACACAGGAGTGCCACAGTTCTACCAGTTTTGCAGTGGGGTCACCACAGAGAGGGGTTTGTCCATAATTTCTTTTAGATATTTCCTGTGGTTCACTCGTTCACTGACCATTTGAGTCCTAGCATAACAGGTCCTGCACAAGACCCTGGGGTTCAGTGATATAGTGGTGACATAAGGAAGTTTGCTGGTGGGGTCTCTGATGGTAGCTTTTAGTGAAGCCCAAGACATTGCAATTCTTCTCAGTGTCAGGGGCAAGGGATCAAAGGACATGGGAGTCTTTCTCCAGCTTCCTCCTTTAAAAACTTAGGCCCACCTAGGAGGAATTCCTATATACGCTTCCTAGAGTCTCTAAATGTTAATGTTTTATACATTTTGCCATACTTCCTTGATCACTCTTTTGTCTACTTTGTGTACACACACATACATATGCACACACACACACATATATATATGCATAGGTATGTCTGTATAAAAGTTTTTTCTCTCGAATATTTGAGAGTAAGTTATAGGTATGATGCTCCTTCAACTAAATACTAACTCTGTGTTTCTTAAAGGTAAAGACATTCTGTTTCATAACCATAAGTATAGTAATAGAAATTGGATATTAGCATTGATTCATTATTATTACCTACTGTATAGACTTTGTCCAAATTTTTTAATTGTCTGTTTTCAGGGCCAGGATCACATTTAGTTGTCATGTTTCTCAAGTCCTCTTTACTCTGTCATATTTCTTTGACTTTCTTTTTTTTTTTTTTCTTTTATGAGCTAGAGATTTTTTGAAGAATACAGGCCAATTATTTATTTGTTTGTTTATTTTATTTTATTTTATTTTGAGTTGGGGGTCTCACTCTGTCACCCAGACTGGAGTGCAGTGGCACACTCCCGGCCACCACAGCCTTGACCTGCTGGGTTCCGGTGATCCTTCTGCCTCAGTCTTCCCAGGAGTCAGAACTACAGGTGCACACTACCACGCCTGGCAAATTTTTGATTTATTGTTGAGACAAGTTCTCACCAAGGTGCCTGGGCTGGTCTCGAACCCGCGGACTCAGGCAATCCACTCGCCTTGGCCTCCCAAAGTACTGGAATTACAGGCTGAGCCACTGAGCCCGGCCTGGCCAGTTATTTTGTAGAATATTTCTCACGTTTGGTTTGCCTGTTTCCTTGTGATTAGATTCAGGTTTGGAAAGAAAACCAGAGAAGTGATATGTTCTCGGTGCATCGGGTTGGGAGGCACACAATATTGTTTTGTTTCATTATTGGGGGTGTTAACTTTGATCACATGGTTAACATGGCATTTTGCCGGGTTTCTCCACTTTAAAATTACTACAGGCATACCTTGGAGATATTGCAGATTCGGTTCTGGACTGTCACAATCAAGCAAATATTGCAATAATGCAAGTCACGTAAAAAAGTTGGTTTTCCAATACACGAAAAAGTTGTGTTTATACTATACTTTAGTCTACTAAGTGTGCAATAGCATTATGTCTAAAAATATATTCATGTCTTAGTTAAATGCTAATGAATCATCTGCGCCTTCAGCGAGTCCTAATCTTTTTTGCTTATGGAAGGTCTTGCTCTGATGTGGATACCTGCTGACTGATCAGGGTTATGTTCGCGGCAGTTTGGGGTGGCTGTGGCAATTTCTTAAAATCTAATAGCAATGAAGTTTGCCACATCAATTGACTCTTCCTTTCATGAAGGATTTCTCTGTAGCATGCAATGCTGTTTGATAGCATTTCATCCACTTTGGAATTGCCTCCGAAAATTGGAGTCAATCCTCTCAATTCCTGATGCTGCTTTATCAACTAAGTTCATGTAATATTCTGAATCCTTTATTGGCATTTCAACAACATTCACGGCATCTTCACCAGGAGTAGATTTCATCTCAAGAACCACTTTCTTTGCTCTGCCTCAAGAAGTTACTTACCATCCATTCAAGTTTTATCATAAGATTGCAACATTTCAGTCACATCTGCAAGCTCTACTTCTAATTCTGGTTTTCCTGCTGTTTCCACCACATCTGCAGAAACTTCCTCCAATGAAGTCTTGAACCCCTCAAAGTCAACCATGAGGGTTGAAATCAACTTATTCCAAACTCCTGTTAATGTTGATATTTTGACTTCCTCCTATAAATCACAGATGTTTTAGCCTCTGGAATGGTGAATCCTTTCCAGAAAGTTTTCAGTTTACTTTGCCCAGATCCATCAGGGGATTCACTGTCGATGGCAGTTATAGCCTTATTAAATGTATTTCTTAAAAAGACTTGAAAGTCAAAATTCCTCCTTGATCCATTGCAGCAGAATGGATGGTGTGTCAGTAGGCATGAAAACAGCAATTATCTCCTTGTACATCTCCTTCACAGCTCTTGAGTGACTAGGTGTATTGTCGATCAGCAGTAATATTCTGAAAGAATTTTTTTTGTAGCAATAGGTCTCAACAGTCAGCTTAAAATATTCAATAACCCATGCTGTAAACAGATGTGTTGTCATACAGGCTTTGTTTTTCCATTTATGGAACATAGACAAAGTAGACTAAGCATAATTCTTAAGGGCCCTAGGATTTTTAGAAAGGTAAATGAGCATAGACTTCAACTTGAAGTTACCAGCTGCATTAGCCCTTAACAGGAAAGTCAACCTGTCCTTTGAAGCTTTGAAGTTAGGCATCTACTTCTCTCTAGCTGTGCAAGCCCTAGGTGACATCTTTTTTTTTTTTTTTTTGGAGTTGGAGTCTCACTCGGTTGTCCAGACTGGAGTGCAGTGGCTGCTCCCGGCCACCGCAGCCTCTACATGCTGGTCTCCGGCGATCCTTCCGCC